GTGGAAGTTCCTCCTCGGGCTCCCTCCTGCAGCACTCCCTTCTTGTTAGCAATGTTAGAGTAGGCCTAGGTGGTCGTGTTTCTACTAGCAGAAAGCTTTTTGGCCGAAACAAGTTGATTTGTTTTTGAACAATGCTGCACGGGCTATGATCAAAATCTTGGGCGGGCCGGGGTTGAATACTGGGGACGTAGGTGATATAGCTGAGGTATACAAATGCGTATTTTATTAATTTATCGTTCTTTCATCTTTCATCATTTCCTGCTCTTTTGCTAAATTTATCCTGAGCTTTACTTCTGTTTCCCAGTGTAATCCATACTCAGGGTCAATGTTCTTACATTGTTGTGATGTGGTTTTATAGTTTGGTGATCACGTTACTATCATATCGCCTCTGCAGCTAAATTTCATTGACTCTGTTGTCTTGCATTTTCCTGAAATATGAACATTTTGAAAATCTTCATTACCCACTTAATCTATAATAACGTGATTTCCTCTATCCTCCCCGTCTTCATGTCAAGTTATTTTTAGTAATTCATACTAGGATCTTTACACGTTTCTTCTTCAATTCTCCACAGAACAACCGAATTATTCTAAGAATTGCTCATAATGATTGACTCATAATTAACACAATTATTATTAGACCTGATTTATTTGGCAAAATAATAGCATGTTTTTTAATAATGTGAAAGATAGTTAACGGGGGGAAGAAACTTAATCAGAATAGCAATGCAGTACCTGCTGCTACTTGGGGATAATTTAATTAATAAGTTAACTATAAGTTAACTAAAAACGTTATGTAACGTTAAAAAATGCTTTTTAATAGTTCGTGTATCCTGTAATTTTTTGCTTCTGATCTTGTCATTTTTTTCTAAAAGATAACTGCTATCTCTATTTGAATTTCAAGAGGTTTTGGTGATTTGAATAAAAGTCCCTTGAATATAGTTTGTATCGTGTAAGTTCTTAACAGCGCATTTTGATAGTTTTAAACATTTACGCTTCAACGATGGCTCAATTAAAATCCATAATCACTCTGTTTGGTGACAAATGATACCATTATTTGCAATTTGAAATCTAACTTTTCGATTTATTCTATTATACCTATTAATAATAATATACAGTATTATAATAATAATAGTCAATCAATTTATTCAATGCAACAATATGAACATTAATATATAATATAATTGTATATCCACGACAAACCATCACCATGGGAAACATCACCATAGCCACCACCACCATTATAAATAACATCACAATCACCACCACACCATCATAAACAACATCACAGCCACATCACTGCATCAACTACATCACTATCACCAGCATCATCATTAAAATATCACCAATACCACCATCAGTAACATCACAACCATCATCACCATCACCATGGGAAACATCACCATAGCCACCACCACCATTATAAATAACATCACAATCACCACCACACCATCATAAACAACATCACAGCCACATCACTGCATCAACTACATCACTATCACCAGCATCATCATTAAAATATCACCAATACCACCATCAGTAACATCACAACCATCATCACCATCACCATGAGAAGCATCACCATAGCCACCAACACCATTATAAATAACATCACAATCACCACCACACCATCATAAACAACATCACAGCCACATCACTGCATCAACTACATCACTATCACCAGCATCATCATTAAAATATCACCAATACCACCATCAGTAACATCACAACCATCATTACCATGAGAAACATCACCATAGCCACCACCACCATTATAAATAACATCACAATCACCACCAAACCATCATAAACAACACCGCAGCCACATCACTGCATCAACTACATCACTATCACCAGCATCATCATTAAAATATCACCAATACCACCATCAGTAACATCACAACCATCATCACCATCACCATGAGAAACATCACCATAAACAACATCACAGCCACATCACTGCATCAACTACATCACTATCACCAGCATCATCATTAAAATATCACCAATACCACCATCAGTAACATCACAACCATCATCACCATCACCATGAGAAACATCACCATAGCCACCACCACCATTATAAATAACATCACAATCACCACCACACCATCATAAACAACATCACAGCCACATCACTGCATCAACTACATCACTATCACCAGCATCATCATTAAAATATCACCAATACCACCATCAGTAACATCACAACCATCATCACCATCACCATGAGAAGCATCACCATAACCACCAACACCATTATAAATAACATCACAATCACCACCACACCATCATAAACAACATCACAGCCACACCATTGCATCAACAACAACACTATCACCAGCATCATCATTAAAATATCACCAAGGGCCACCATCAGTAACATCACAACCATCATCATCACCACCACTATCATCATCTTCTCATATCTTTTTCAATTCAATATTTACATTCGGAAAATCCATCGATGGCCAATATCCGCTAACGACACTATATCGCTGCCTCGATCGACAGTAAGAATCCCTAACAAGCTTCTGGTAATATCTTATTTTTACGTCAGCATATCAAAACAAATTATTACACATTAAGTTTTCTAAATTTTATTTTATCCTGATTTAGTCGTTATGTACTTATGGCATTGTATGGATACTAAATGTATATTAAGCCGTCATGCAGGATATTTTCATCTTACGTTAAGAATTGTAAGCTAATCCACATTTCACTTAGTAATTTACTCAGATATAAAATATTACTTACAGGATGAAAATTCATGGCTTTCTGCACGACACGTTTCCATTAAAGCGACATACATGTGTTAGCTAGAGGGCACTAAAATCTCGCGTATTGTTAGATAATGTAAATAATACGAGACCTGAATAAAAAGCACATAGGCCTGATGATTCTGTTGTAGATGACGTACACAGTACTTTAAAGTATAAGTCATATATATGCTATGAAATCCGGGCCCAGCAACGAATTACTATGCTCTAATGAGCAATGGCAATAAATATATGATTAAGATTGAGCAACATACGTATATAGGACTATATATTTTTATTATGTTATATATTTCAAATATGTTATTTAAATGAAATAACTTATTAGATTGAGATAAATATTTTGAATCAAATAACCCTTGAAAAAAGCATACCTACTCGTTACTTAAGCATAGTTGATATAAGCTTGTCTCAGTGTGGTCTAACTGTTTATCTACTCTCTTTTTAAATCTTTGTTTCGTATTTTTATTTCATATGGATATTGTCTGAAATAAAAATAATTGATTGATTGATTGATTGATTATCGTGTAATTAGAAATGGCTCGCCACTACAAGGTATAAATGATGACTGATTGGAGTACCGTAGCTAATGAGTTATAAGAAAACGATGTATTGTTTGGACTTGAACCCATGACCTTGGGATTGGAAGGAGGGCATCTTAATCATAAATCACCACAACTCCATTTTATAGCAGATTTAACTTTAACATGAGAATTTACATGCAATATTATATAATGAGGTGGTTCATGCCTATGAAACCAATTAAACTCTCCGAATGGTAATATTGACTATGGATATCAATCAAACTTAATAACTGACCAATCAGAACAGTGTCAGGAATACGCGTGCGTACAACAAGCACACGGGTTGTACAAAAAAACGCACGTGTTTGAGTATGTTCTTACACTTGTAACGTTCAGACTGAGAGATACGCCAGGCGTATCTTAAGCTTTGTCTACACTATCAATGATAGTGTACTAGACAAAGCTTTAACGCCGCCGGGCGTACATTAATCCATGGCGTAAATAGCGAGATGTCCAGATTGGGCGATTAACGAACGCTAGCGTAGGTATTTGCGCAAAATATTCGTATTCGTAATTCGCGCATTTTATTTCCTGTTTAAATCTAGGCTTATTTTGATTGGTCAATTCTGGCCGAGTTCAAAATTACTGATACGTGACTGTCGTAACTCAGTGGCGTTCGCTAATCTGGGGTCCGCTGCTGGATTACCGTACGCGCACCAGTGATTGTGCGCTGGTAAGCAGTTTTTGCCGCACGAAGTTAACCTTAACGTTAACGGATGACGTCATAATGCGGAGGACGTTAATTTTAGGATTTTACGTGCTCGACGTACGTTGGTTACGGGTTTGCGAACGCGTATTTCGATTTGTTTACAAAAGGCGCGGAGCTATCGCGTTGCATGCTAGGTACTAACGTTAAAGTTAAGGTTACCGTCGTGCGACGAAAACTACCTAATACTGGCATTCGCTACACCTCGCACAAGTTCACACCACTTGATTATCGTCACGCTAGCGTAAGTCGTTGCGTCTGAATGTAGCCACTAGGTAGTTTTCACCGCGCGACGTTAACCTTAACGTTAACGGATGACGTCATAATTTATTCATCTTGCCTTGCGGAGTACGTGCTCAACGGGTTTGCGCTTGCGTATTTCGAATATTTACAAAAGGGGCGAAGATATCGCGTTGCATGTTGGGTATTAACGTTAAAGTTAAGTTTAACGTTGTGCGGCGAAACTACCTACTGTCGTTTTGTGAACCTTAGCAACAATATCCCAGGCTTAGCGGAAAAGTCCATTGTTTAGTAACTTCAACATTTTAATTACAAAGAAATCGATCCCAGGATGAAGTTGTTTGAATAAAAAGCACCATAGGCCTACCATTAAAATCCATACACGTGATTAAAACGTGTTTTCTGAGACTTCGCTCTGTTTACATGCGTGTTTGGCGACAAATATACTTAGGCCTACTTAGGCCTACAGAGACATCGATAAATCTATAGGTTTAATTATACTCCACGCATCAGCATTCCAGTCACTTCTACCAATTTGTTAAAAGATGTTTTTAAAATGGTAGAATATGCAATATCAATTTAACCCCTAAAGTGTTTCTCCCAAGATGGATTTATATTCAGTTGCCAACTGATTTTTGACTAATAATCTTCAAATGTTTAGTACCACGTGATCATTTTCTAAATGTTCTTCCACAGGGCCTCCTCTTACTGTTAAAGTTGACATGTTCTTGCTCAGCATTGGTCCAATGATAGAGCAAAAGAAGGTATGATTTTCATTTTTTAAGGCTTAGGCCTAGTGGTAGATGAGGATGCATTATTTACGTATAATACTGTGGCCCGTCAAACGGTAAAATTTTAGTGGTGTAACTGTGACCTAATTATACCATGTCACAAATAGATTGTGACCTTTAGCAATCAATTCATATAAGAATAGACCCTAAGTATATTGTAATCGTGTATAGCTCTCTTCACGTTTACTATTCGATCTAACGAATGTCTTTCGTTTCGCTTTATTGAATCTATTAATTATGTAATAAAAAGTATTTCGTTATAAGGCGCTATTAGTATTATTACATTTTATGTAGTATCTTTAACTTAATATATTTACCATTGTCATAATTGATTCACATCAATATATATATAATATATATATATATATATATATATATATATCATCTTTGCTAAGTTATTAAAATGGAAAGTAGGTCTAATTAATAGTATTTAAGTTGTTGTCATTATGAATAATAACTTAATCATAAATTCTATAAGTGGCTTAATAGGAACGCAAATTATACAATTGTGTGGCATCGCGAATTACCTCGTCAGTTCGTATTCATTATTGAAATTGAACCAAATTTAATTGTTACTTCAATAAGGCAGAATCAAAATAATCGTGGTTGGCATTTACAGAATCAGACAAACAATTATTTTTGCAAATAATTTCCAATTACGGTTTGTATATATATAATTGGGTTGGACAGTTTTCTGTCAGAAATAGTTCTTGAGCATTGCAAAATAAAGCCTGGGGCAATGAAATACAATATATAGCCTAGATATTTATGTAGGCCTATCAATTTGGTAACTAGTAAAACATACAAAGTGAAAGTTCCCGTAGGAAAAAAAATAACTATTTCCTGGAACATTACATAACAGAAGATAAGCAGCAAATTTTTGATCATTTTCAATTGTACAAAAAGTAGTATGCATACAATGTATAGATTAAAGGCCTATATCCCCTAGATATGAACATGGGGGAAATATATTATTATTAATAATAATAATAATGATGATGATGATGATGATGATGATGACGATGACGATGACGATGACGATGACGATGACGATGATGATGATGATGTAGTTTTATATAGCAGGGTATCCATCTAATATAAGATGCTCAGGGCGCTTGATATTTGGACTAGAAACTCGGTTAATGACTTTCTTCGCCCTTAAGGGTCCCTTCGTGTCTGTGCACATGACAACCCGGTACCAGGAACCCTCGTCGTTTACCACAGGGGCTATCTGTTCCAGCACACCGGGGTATCCCCTACTCGTCTCGAATGATGTGCTGTATAGTGCTTATCCGAGAAGATTTGTTCTACCACCAGAATCATAGGCGAGCGTGGCGTTCGATCCAGCGCCGATCTTAGGTGGACGCGCTAATTATATTAATATAATTATTTCCTCCATGATATGAATAACGAGAAACACATTAGAAACCAATTGTATACGCCATTAACCAGGAGCATATCCACTAAACGTTAGCTGTTATAAAATAACCCAATTTATAAGTTTTGTAAAGAAATTGTTGATTTCCATTTCATTAATGTGTTGCCAGGAATTCTACGTTGAAGTGTTTTTTAGACAACGATGGGAAGATGAACGTCTTCGTTATTCCAACGGAACCGCTTTCAAAGTGTTGCCACTGAATTCAGTATTGTTAGAAAGTATATGGTATCCGGATACATACTTCCACAACGATCGAAATTCGAAAGGTCATGACATCATCGTGCCGAACAGACTGGTGAGAATCTATCCAGAAGGCAATGTCTTGTACACTCAAAGGTAATAATCAATCAAAGAACAATCTTATCTTATTCTTAATGGAAGAATTCTGTCTGTATTTTGTCAAAATTTAGAAAAGAAAATCAGAAAAATTGCCAGTAGGAAAAAATACCAGTAGCAATGGACACCGAACAATGGAACAAACCAATAGCGGTATCGTTTAAGGCATAATTTACTGATTTATAAGGCTGTACATACTTAGGTAGTTGTATATACATCACTAACAAATCAGTTAGGTTGTGTTTAATGAATATAATTGATTAATTAATTAATTACACTTGATACAACCTAATACAATCATGTTAATTAGGCTGTATCATTTATTTTTTGCACACAACAATACTCCTGTTATGAAATAGTAGAGCGGCTAAGGAGAAAAATCGTGCACTTTTGGAAGAAAGCATGAAACTTCCCACAGTGATACTATCATTTAAAAAAATAGACCCCAAAAAATAAGCCGCTTAGTGGCCGCCATCTTGAAATTCAAAATGGCCGCCAAAATATTCGATTTTTATCAATAATCTTCATATCTACAGTACCTAGCACTGTCATTCAAATGTCTTTACCTATGTTTTCAATATCAGGGAGTATTATGCAATCACCTTTTTGAAAAATGTTACTGAGTTTGTTTTCTCCTGCGCCTTTGACAAATTTTTGAATTGGCGCTATATAAATGTTTATTATTATTATTATTATTAATCATCAAAAATTATGTCAGATGGCCACCATATTTGATTTCAAGATGGCTGCCAAAATATTGTTATTTTTGTCATTATCTTCATATCTACAGTAACGTAACACAGTCAATCACACACCTTTAACCATTGTTTATATATGATGCAAAAACGCTTGACAGTCGAATACAAAATGTTTTATTCGTGTATATATATACCACAGGTGGGCAAAGTGCGGCCGCAAAAATGAATTAAAAACCCTATGTGTACGGCCCACCAAGGAACATTGGCTAGAAAACATCTTATTTTTTACGACCAGGCGCCGATTATGTAAAAAAGTAACATTAAACTGAGAATAAAGTGGTGTAAAAGCAG